AAGTCTTTTTCGCTACAGATCCTGATGCCATAGAAATGTTTATCAAACATCAACATTTACTAGTAGGCCCACCGCCACGTTGTGGACCACGAACTTGTCCTGATTCCGACCTCTAAGCTTCGCCAAGCACACGAAACACGTGTGATCATGTCAGCCACGAACCCACCCAACGCCTTCAAAATAGAATATTCACACTGAGCAACGACTCCACAGTCCACACAACATCGATAAATAGATAGATACATTCGCATGCAGACTCCATCTGTAGACGTTCATCTCGCATAAAAGAACTATTTCGCATGCCCTTCTTGCATCAGATTCCAATCAAACGTTTTCGAAACGATCTACAGATGTAGATTTTCATAGCGGATTGGAAATAGGAAACTGACAACGGTAAACCGTAAACCAWAAAGGTCCTTCAGAGATTCAGTTGTTCACTTGTTTGTTTCTTCTCCCGGCAAAAGCCAATGAAATAATTTTTAAAAGAATCAAGAAAAAATGAAAGACTGAATAAATGAGGGAAGAAAAGAACATGCCATTAAAGCCCAGCGGATCTTCCTCGAGGTCAGTAATGGCCTCCCTGGGCTCTCTCTCATTTCTCTTCTCCAATTCCAAACCCCATTCCTTCCTTCCCTCAAACCCTAATGCGAACAGTAGACTACGCCTCTCTCGAACCCATATCCTCAATTTCTCTGCGAATTCGGATCAGAAGAATGRGCTCAGCGATTCGCCAGTCTCTGAGAAGAAATCCTTCGCGGTGGCCACGGGAGAGCTCTTCCTTGGGCTAGCGTCGAGGTTTATAAGGAGGAGTAACTCTAATGGAGATGGAGATTCTGTTTCGGTCCCAGTTACGATGTTCAGAGACGCCGAGAATTCGAAACAGGAGGCGTACTTGTCGGGGCGGAGGGGGAGAATTGCGACGGTTGTGGAGGACACAATTGAACCGGCGATCATTTGGGAGCAGCGGGTGAAGGACGTGAAGGCGGAGAGGGATCGTAGACAGATTACGAGCCCTGGGTTTAGCTTCTCTGCTGCTGGACTTCTCTTCCCTTATCATCTAGGTGTTGCTCAGTTCCTTATAGAGAAAGGATATATAAAGGTAGGCTGTTTCATCTGGAAATTCTATATTTGTGCCCTTTGATTTAGTACTATTTATTTCATTTGAAGATTTTGTTTTTGGAAAGGTAGTTTCGTTTGATGAATTGGATGGTGTAATTTGAAATTATCACCTTACCAAAAAAAAATGAAACTATCAGGTTTAATTTTATGCCTTTTTTTGGGGACAAATGAGGAGTATCAAGTGAATATATTTTGAAATACATCATATGTRTAGCCATATCCACGTTTGTAGACTGGGGGGAATTGCCATTTCGTGTTAAAATGTGATATCTTTATCTATAATTAGCCCTTACAGTGTTATGCTACTGAGTTTTGGTTAGATTATTGCTATTTTACAGTTTCTGATCTTGTAACCCTATTGGGTTAACTTGTAATCCTTGTTTCTGAATGAAAATCATTCTGTTATTTATCCAAAACAAGGAAGTCCTTACAGGGTGGTATTCGACTGTTCAATAGTTAATACCCAGATGTTAGGTTTCTAAGAGATGTTCAGTATCAARTTATCAATAAATAATCCTTTGAGTCAACACTCAACAGGAAAGGAAATTTGTCTTTCTGTGTCTTTTCAGCAGTGTTGCATGGATATGGACGCATGAATCAAAATCCAACATGTGTCTGAGACTGACTTAGCAAGAAAGAAAAGCAAGGACTTGTAGACATTTTTTTTTTCCAATTGTAGCATTACATATCTATACAAAAAGTTCAGAATTTATCTTTGCTATTTTCTAGAAAAAATGGAATTGATTGTGTTTATTGGCTATTCATTTGTGCCATATATGCAACAACATAAAGGAAAATGCTATGTTGGAGTGTCCATGAAGAATCCATTGAGTGTTGGAATCCAACACATGTGACATGGACACTCRTCCACTTATTACAGTCCTTGGTTGATGTAACACTGCTTTTCCGCAAATGGTTTTGTAACTTTTGTTACTTACAATTACATTGTTCATTACTCATACAGGAAATTTATTATCCTGCTCCTTAGAATCTATTTTCTTTCTTTATGATTCAGGAAACCACACCATTAGCTGGTTCCTCAGCTGGTGCTATTGTCTGTGTGGTGATTGCCTCTGGAAGCAGCATGCAAGAGGCCCTAAAAGCTACCAAATTACTGGCTGAAGATTGCCGTCTTAGAGGAACTGCATTTCGCCTTGGGGTATAAGGATAATCTAATAGTACAATAGTACTGTTATGTTCTTGTTCATGCTACATTTTTATTTGTATTGCGTATCATCTTTCCTCCTTTCTGGAGAAAGGGATGTGTTTCCACCATTAGTTAAACAAGATATCTTTACCTGTGAGTCTGTGACTGACACATAATCCTCAACATTCACATTATATTGTACAACTGTTGAAAATTTGTATGTTCTGAGAAAAGCACTCTTTTGGTCAAGTTGGTCAATTAGGTGTAGCCTGTACAAATGGATGTATTTAATCTTCACCTTGTTAAAGCCTTAAATTTGCACCCAGTAAGAACAGYGACTTGTTGCCACTGGTGCATATGTTGGTCATTGCTTTATATTAATCAACCACCTAGATTAAATCTATGTTATGCTGGTACAACAGAAGTGCAACTTGGATGTAGCATTGTATTCAAGTGAAGTGTTCGACTTTGACATGGGTGTTGCTTGCCTCTGTGGTGTTCTGGTAGCATAGCTTTCTGAAAATGAGTTAGTAGCGTTATTAAAGTAACTGATTCTATTAATGTATAATCTGGCAGTGTTGGAAACCATGGGCTGTTGTTTCAGCACGGATAAATAGAACTAGTGGCTTTGAATTATCTCTTCGTCATTTCAGTTTGCTTTTTGATATGACAAAAAAATTAAGGCTGTTCCTTCGAATAATACATACTTTAGTTGGGTAGTGTCCTCTGAATAACCTACCCGATGGCTGTAGAATTGGCTATAGGTAGCAGTGGTCATTGAAAAWGAAGACTGGAAGAGAGTATTGCTTTGGACCTTGTAAGCTACTTTCTTAACTATCAATAAATTTGTACTTATAGGAGTATGTACACACTAATATTATTGCTTGCAAGAAATGACTTCCATTTGATGTTCAAAATTTTCAAAACCTTATAGCTTCTATAATATTTTGATCTTAAAGATGCTCAGCTTTCAATTTAGAAGCCTAATAGTGAACAAAGAGCTTTAAAGATGTATCTGTATGTTAGTCGAAAAAATTTTGATTAATTTTTTGCATAACACAATTAACTTAATTAGACTAATAACTAGTTTTTTTTTAGTATTTTGGCAAGTCTCATTCAAGATATCACATAGATATTCCTTTATTTACATCTTTGGTACGGGTCAGAGAAAACCTTTTGATTTTGATGTAGGAGCGTGAAAACCAGAGAACCAAAAAACAAAAAACCACCTAGAGATATTACAACTATGCCTAATACATAATATGTCTTTGAACCCCTTGCTTGGCTAG